CACCTACTTAATCAATAAAAAGCTAACAGGCTCTAGTTACCCTGATCCTTCGAAGTTATTTGACATCAAGAAATTGAATTATGTACAACTTTACTTTGTCCAAACTTCAGTATGTTGAATGGATGTTGTTTTACTTGTTATTTGTTCCTGGTGCTGCTTGATTCAATTGAAATGCATGTCTAGTGATCAGGTTACCGTTGCCTTGCAGCTGCCAGAACTTCTGCAAGTACTGCAATCTGGTAGGCCTCAAAGTTCATGGGCTACCGTTTCATATGGACAGCGTCAGTTCAGGTTCCTTACCTTTTCACTTATAATGGAAAAGGGATTAGCTCAATTCTGATAAACTACAGTTTATAGCCAAGAACAAGTACTCTGCAAGTAGATAAAATATTCGACCATTATCATGTCTCTGTACCCACCTCTCAAAGCTAAAATCTTCTCCACATCCTAGTTTAGCTTTTATATTGATTTCTCAGCATGTTGCCGTTGTCCCTTCCAAAAAAAACATTCAGTACGCGTTTCTCTAGACGTTTAAGGGGAAATTGGTTTGGCTAATTAGTTGTACACATATAAATAATAGAAACAACGACATTACTTAAAAAAGATTGCATTGCCATTATGCTTTTTAGTTATGTAAAGGTATACTATCTTGCCATGCAGGAAGCCCTATCCCAAACACATGGTTTTGACAGATTTTCACATGACTTAACATGCAAAAAACCACCTACCACCTTCATTTTTTATTCTTTCTCATGTCTTTAGTTATGACTACTCCTTATTAATACTTTATTTATTTCTATATACAATGAACATCGGCAACTTTATAGATTTTCATCCATAACTGACTAAAGAAAGAGCAGAAAATGTCAGTTCGCTACCTAACACAAAGAAAAGAAAGAGGTAGACAATTTTTTAGACAAAATCACCTCCCATTTAGGACATTTTCATGTGATGAAAGTTCTAGATATATTCAAAAACCGCTTGGGCATTTGGAAACACATTGGCTTACATAAGACTTGGTGGAAAAATAAACAAAATAGATGCTCTGCAAAAGGAAGAGATGGATTATCTACATACAGACAGATGAGTGTGAAGGGTAAATGATACTGCTAGCATTGGCCACTCTTACGATTTGAGAACCACACCTTCTGTTATCTTCCAACCTGAACTTGAAAAATACACCATCTCATAGCGTGTGGAGTATGTAGTGCTATAAGAGTCTTGGTTCTCTGGGTTTGCAGCATCAGTCAGCCGAGCTGCCTCCTCAATTGTTGCCTCCACCATTGCACGCTGGCCATCCATGGATACGGTCACACTATCAATTGTCACACTCAATAGGGTGTATTCCCAAGACAATTGTTGCTGTGCAATCTCAGCCACACGATCTGTCCATATCTGTAGCATCCGACCATCCAAAACCTGTAAATACTTGAAGATCAGTCCAATAAACAGGATCATGCATGTCATGGAAAAATAGTGCAGTAAAGTTTATGAAGTAGACAGTAATATAATTTGTCGTTTTATGACTCGGTTGAAGTGAACTATAATATGTAAATCTCAGCCATATTGGGGCTCATTCTTGTATCAAGACTTCTGTATGGGCTTCATAAATCAATATTTTCTTGAGTGCATAGGTCAGTCATTCAATGACAGCAGAAAGAAAAATAATCACCTCAGAGAATTCTGCAACACAATGGTCAGGTCCCAAGGCCTGGGATTTAATTTTCTGCCACTTGCGAATGAGAGTTTCAGCAAATCTGGCATCCATTTTAGGTTTGTCCTGCACCAAGCTTCCATCTCCAGATAAATCTAAACCATGAAATGGAAGATGAGACTAAATTTTTCTCGCAAAAGCTAAGTAATACAAGATGAAAGGATACCATATGTCCTAAAATTTGTTTTTTAAAAAATCAACTTTATGAAAGCAGTTAAAGAATTATAGAACAATTAAACTGTAATGATTTCTTTCCAGTATTCAACAAAACAAGGTTCCTACCACTGTTAGTCTCTAAGTAATATCGCGTCCAGTAAACATGAAATCAAATATGGCATAATGAAGCATAATATCTCAGTAATTGAAGCAATATGAAAGATAGCAATGTGAATCTTGTGTTGAAACTCAAATATATAGGACAAGACTATCTGCAACTATTATGATGAGTTGGTGATGATTACACCCAATACCCATCGCCAGAATTGTTCATAACACAGCACATTTGAGACAAAGAAGATCGTAAGACTGGGCACCATTAGGTTGATTAGCTCCTTTCTCACTCTGAAAAGCCATTATCAGTTTTTTTTTTTTTTTTTTTACTCGGAACAGAACTGACAAATGGCTGCAGCATTTTGCTACCTCACCATCTCGGTGTCATGTTTTATAATAACCATGAATCTCGAGTTACAAAATCGCCCAAGGAATGCCAGAGTTTACACAAAAAAGAAAGAGAATCTAATTGAATACGATCCCTGTGATATGAAACAAGTAGAACTTGAAAGGAAAGGAAGATATTAAATATTAATGCATTGTCTTTCTCAAAGAAGATAGTATTAGCAAATTGAATTGGTGTCTAAGGAGCTCTTACAGCTATATAAAGAAAAAAAAATGCTAGTAGGAAACTTACCCTGACTGGAAACATCAGTAGTCATTCCTCTACTTGCTTTCATACCCGTAACTGGAAAAACATTTCTACCTGGTAAATATTTGAGCCCCGCTAGAGTCAATAATCCAACCACCACACCAGCACCCATAAGCTTAACACTTGCATCTTTTACTTGGTATGTCCAATCTTGCTCATTTAAATCAGCAGGACTGAAATCCAAAGAAACCTCAGCCTTAGCTGCAGAAATATTTTGTTCAGCTCCTTCCGCAGATTCCTCAGTTTGCATGTCATAAGCAGAATCATATCCATCATCTTGTTCCTCTCTACTCTCCCTCTCCATTGTGTTGCCTGATGGAAAAACTTTCTGCAATGCCTGAAGAACACTTGACTTCATGTTACCAAGTGCTGCAGTAGCTTCTGTCCCAATTTTCACTATGGCAGCAGCTGCAGCTAAAGGTGATCCGCCGCCACCCTCTAACCTTTCCAGATACCTCAAGACAATGGGGTCATCATAGTAATCTCCCAGCCTAATGCGCAAATCTTGAGTATCTCTAAATCTTGGAAAAACTACCTCCACAAGCCACGTTTCCAACAGTTTACAGAGACCAGGAAGAAGATCATCATCCATGTCGATGTTTGAACTATCCACAATGAATTCTACAATAGATGGATTTCTGTGAGGTGAGTTCTCACTATCAAGGCCCAACCACAATTGGCACCCATCAAGATCTCCCACAAGAAGTGAGCAAAGGCCTCTTTCAAGTGCAAAGTCAGTTGCGCGATCCTTTTTTATAGCATAGACAGGCATAGAACCCATTGTGGTGGCATTGCTCTGCTGAAGCTGGAGAAAGAGATTGTCCGCATTCTTGATAAGGTGGGGTTTCTTATCCAAGAAAGCTAGGGAAACCAGAGCAAGAGCCACCCCGTAAATCTCAAAGCTCTCTGCCGGTATATTACTCGGTGTGGCAGCAAATAAATCAACCTTCATGCAATAAAAGTATGAAACCAAGAGGTCATGCTAAGAGTAACGAGGAAAACGAAGAGAAGAAGGAAAATAGAAGATAAAATTTTCCAAGAGCACTGAACCACAAACCTGTTCAGCAGCCGTCATCCGTAAGAATGCTTCATTCATGAAGTCTTCGCGAGTAAACCCACCTCCAATCACAGAAGCACCTCCTTTACCCACAGTCCATAGTATATTGCGCACCCCACGAAGGCCTTCCTCCCTTTTCACATGATGCTCTTCATCAAGGGGTAAAGCTAGAAGCTCAAGAACACAACGAGGTGTAATCTCTTCCAATGTCTCATCAATCTGTGCTTGTAGATCTGGTGCAAGGTTGCTTGCTCCTTCCTCCTAATTATATGAACTAGACTAGCTTAGTTATTCAGGGTCTTATGCACAATGCTACAAGCGAAAATTTTGATAATGTGTCCATGTTTAAAAGGATGTCTTATAGCATTCACGCAAGCTATTTGTTCCCCTTTTTTTCTTCTATTATTATAAGAGGCAAGGTTAAAAGAGAGAAAAAAACCAGCTGGCAGTTAAGCATGAGGTCCCCTTTTACTTAGTAATTTAAGTAGTAAATCTAATGGCTGAAAACTACATTCCTCCTTTCATATGGAAATATCCATCTTTACATACAAGACAAAGATGATGAATGGATGATAATGAAACTTCTATTTAACCTGTAGGAGCTTCAGTGCCCTCTCGAGCACCTCGCAACACCCAACGAAATCCGGTGGGGTCAAAGCCATTGCATCTCTAGAGAGATCCACATATGCAAGTGCCATCACGAGAACCACATCCTGCTTGAAATTCTTTGGCAATCTCTCCCTCAAGAGTTTCTGGCCTACTTGAAGCACCACTTCAGTCTCCCCGGCCTCTTGGAGCACACAGAGAGCGCCTGGAACCTATGAGAAACTTTGGAAATCAAGAACACAACTAAACATAATTCAATAAAATCAACTATAAATGTTAAAACTTTAAAGATTTAGACAATATTATGAGTTATGAAATTAATATAGAATTGTTATGGTGTTCTCAACCGTCAAAGTGTGATCATTTGCCAGCAACGGACGTGTGTACTTCTGCATGCAATGTCCCAATCAAATTGGCGGCCAAAGACCAGCAATGATTCCAACTTAGCCGACTCGCCGAGTCGACATTCTCTCATGTCGACTCGAATGGCGGTATTTGTCGGTTCTCTTGCGAAGACGACTCGCAACGAGCCCACTCGACCAGTTATTCGACGCCTCACGAGGTCGACTCGAAAAGCGTTACTTCTCGGCGAAGCTAAAGAACGATTTCAGCCTCGAGTCTCTCCCGCAGACAACACGTCGGCGTCGCATTTAATGTTTGGCAGGCGCATCATACATCTAGCCCTGATAGTCTTCATGATTCATCGGACCATATCATCACTGCCATGCCACAGATCACGTCTCATTTAATGCTGAGGTTATCTCTCCTCCACTTGTCGATCGATACGTGTAAAGTAGATGCTGACGCAGCCGCCGGCCCATACTTCTCCACCGCTATCCTGTACTCGACTGAAGTGTCAATTCTACCCTTATATCATCAGTACAAATAAGAGGTACTATTCTAACATAGAGAGGCTTCTTCTGCCAGATCAGATCTTTTAAGCAATATTTGCTAATTATACTGCACACACAAGAACTCTTACTTTCTCCACTTAAGTTCACCAGCTGACTTGATCGTCGGAAGAACCACGGGGGAATCAATCCCCGTCCTCTCACGAGTTTCTACATATGCATGCTTCAGCCACTCAACTCAAAACCGGATATTCAGAGAAGGAAGCGACCCCTCTTGAGATTCAATCTCGCCCCGTCCAACCATTTTAATCGACTGTGTGATCATTAACGTCAACAAGAATGATTATGAAACTTCACATCATGAAATAAGTTAATCAATCCACGTTAACAACCCCTACCAGATACTAACATGAGCATTAACAGTTGGATCCTACCATTTCAGGCGCCGGTAACCCAGACGTTTGCTCAAAACTTCACTGAAATTTCACGGGAAGCTAAATAACAAACAAAATGGCATGGCGAGAAAATCAAACCTTGTCCCAGGGAACATGGGTAGTTCGTGTGGACTCCGGCTCGTCGAGGAGGCCACGGTTATAATCCCCTCGCAAGCTAGGGTTAGACAACGTGTCGCAAGCGGCCTGCAGAATCTGTCGCCGGCCGACAAGGGCTTCCTGGCTGAACCCTAGCTGCGGCGGCTTCGACACCTTGGCCTCGAACGCCCTCCGGATCCCATCCCCAAGGAAATGGGTCTCCGCCCCAAGCACCTAAAACAAGAAGAAACGCCGCCCTAAGAACGAGACAAACAAACAAAAAAAGAAAAGAAAAGAAAAGAAAGAAACAAAGTAAGGGATTTTAACCTGGTAGAAATCGATGGGGAGGGGGACGGTGCGGTCGGAGGTGGGGAGGGGAGGGGAAGGGATGAGAGGGAGAGCAGGCGGAGGAGGTCGGCCGAGGCGGAGGAGAGGAGGCGGCGGCGGTGGAGGGGAATGGAAGTCGGGGAGGAGGCGGTCGGCCATTTGCTGGAACTGGCAAGTGAGGGCGAAGGGGGAGGAGGGTTTGGGTTTGGGTTTTGGTTTGTGATCTTGGCGGTGGGTTTAGCCAGGGTTTATTAGGTTTCAGGGAGGGGTTCGTGTTTGTGAGGGGGATGGAGAGACCGAGGCTTCCATTTTGTTTGGGTGAAATTTTTTATCGTCCAGGGCCTCGGGAGAGAGACGGTCATCGAGTGGGGTTCTTCGAGACGGGGGCGGGTTTTGAATTTGCGGGGCTCCGGTTCGCTCCCCTAATTTATTTTTAGTTACCACGGAAGATTGGGGTGGGTGCGCCCCATCTGGACCGCACGGGAACCAGGATGCATCTTGTACGCGCTCATTTTGCACGAGACCCCAAGATAGGGGCTGTTTGGTTGGCATTTTTTGCCCTTGTAAAACTGTCAAAACTGACAAAAGCTGTCAGTTTTGGCAGCTCTACTCGCAAAAACGCCCATTTTTTGATGTTAATAAAACAATAACTCTCCTGTTGCTGTTAGAATATGCGGACGGAATACCGAGTCATAGTTCTCATGATGAACGCCTGTTCGGTGCCAATATTCTCGCCATCGTGATTTTGGGGTGACACGGATTCTCGCTACTATATATCACGTACGCGTCTAGTAACATTTTTTTATGACTAATAATTAAAAACCATTCACATCATCGATACACCACAGTGAATCCATACCCCTGTTTTTGATACGGGTGTTTTACACGGATGGGGATGAATATTTGGACTCTGAAATAACCTTCTAAAATCTCCGAATATTTGTGAGATGAGAGCCTATAAAGTAAAAAAAAAAAAGGGTTGCATCGCCCTCCCCTAATAAATCTCCAAGCCCCTTCCTCCTAATTAAACCGAAGCCCGATCAGACCAACTTAGACCAAGCTAACCGCCCGCCCGCTCCTTCTCGCGTCGAAGTTCCAGCACCTTCCTATGACAATTAGAGTGAACGCTGCCGACGAAAGTCGGGCTGCACGCTGGTCTGTACTCCGGCCAGCCAGCACCTCCCCGACCTGTAAGCCGGACCCCACAAGCATTGCACAGCGCTCCCGGCCCCCCGTCGCCCGCCCTCCACTGCCGGCGTCTTCCCTGCCCGCAGTTGCCTGCACTCTGGCAACCGACCGCACCGCGCTGTGCTTCCTCTTCCGACCCCTCCTTCTTTCCTTTCCTTTCTCGGCTCAGCGCTCGACCACGACCGCGCCGGCGCAGCGTCTCTCGCGCCCGGGATGAGGGGAACCGTCCTTACGCCTTGCTCCTAGCCCCGCACCTGGCACTGGAACCGTCTCTCCAGTCGATAAAGGATCGGTTTTTTGGACTCGCAGAAGATTAATGTTCTCGCTTCCGTAAGACGTCGGAGATTCGGAGAATGAGTCCTCAACGAACTGGGACAGCCACTCCAGCTCCGCTCCATCTTCAGCCTGTACGTATTCATTGCAGATTAATCAAGCATCGATCTGGCGCCTCTTCATACATCGACGGCCTCCCGATGAAGACCGCGAAATTAGCTAGTTTCATGAGAAGGGATTACTTACATGAAAGCCGAGCTCCGTAGCGGGGTTTTGCGGTAACTGACCAGAAGA